CGACCATGCTCCTCACCTTGGAGCTGTGCAGCCTTTTATGTAAATAAAAATGCTGAAAAAGAACGCGGAGTTCCTCGCCTTGTTATCAATTATAAACCTCTCAACAAAGTATTAAGATGGATCAGATATCCTATCCCCAATAAAAAAGATTTATTAGATAGAGTTGCTCAAGCCTGCATCTTTTCTAAATTTGATATGAAGTCTGGATATTGGCAAATACAAATTCAAGAACAAGATAAATATAAAACAGCATTTAATGTCCCATTTGGTCAATATGAATGGAACGTTATGCCATTTGGTTTAAAGAACGCTCCGTCAAAATTCCAGAAAATAATGAATGATGTCTTCAATGCCTATCATCATTTCATGATTGTTTATATTGATGATGTTTTAATATTCTCTGAATCCATAGATCAACATATTAAACAGATTAATACTTTTATACATGCTATACAAACTGCTGGACTAGTTGTTTCAATGGGTTCTCGAGGCACTTCTCGTCGAGATAAACAACCCATGAGAAATATAATTCCATATGAAGGGGAACCCTCGCCTTTGGCAATACGTTCACCTTCACACTCACCCATTCATCAAATCACCTATCCAAAAGCACATGCTTCTAATCCCATATATTCACCAGCCCAATCCAAGTCTGCCTCCATACCAAATATACCCAGATCTGTATACATCGAAAGAGCCTATCTTATGGATATTACCATAGATGAACAACATATCCATACAGATCCCATCAAACTTGCACCATTAAATTTATTGAAGCATCTCAACCCTACTAATGGGGTAAAAACCAGAGAATATTATGAGGCTATACTCATGGAAACAGGGTCCATCTCTGTAGTCCATTATTTCCAGCAGAATACCAGAATAATTGCCTATTCCAAGGTTCAAATAAAAAAGCTACTTTTCTATGACGAGTGGGGTTGCCATCCCGCACAGGGAAAGAAATTGCACAACCCAGATTTCTCGTATAAATATTATAAATATGCCGAATACATAGAAGCCTGACATAAATTCTTTTATTATCAAAATCCAAATAACACACACAGCTGGTACCTTCAGTTCCGGCTACCTATTTTCGAAAGATTCCCCACATGGTTTCAAAACTGGTTCTTGGTGTGGGGTTCAACATCTTTGGTTCTACCTCCTGCTTTCAAAAACATGCAGGATCAATTTGTGGAATATAATAATAGTGACAATACAATTGATACTCACCTATACTTCATGGCATTATACCAGATCCCTTGGATCATGAAATGGGAATATACTATCTCTGTCAATAATACAGCCGATTACACCTATATTCTTCGATTGGGGAAAACCATCTCTGTTAAATGGTGGGACATTTTCAAAATGGATCTCACCACCACCACACCAAAAAGAATACCCCAACAGACACCTAAATACCAACCAAGCCCAACTACAGCCAATACCTCTTTTGACTTTCCAACCTACTTACGAAATATGTTGCAAACCAATCCCAATGCATCCAAGGAAGAACTAGAAAAACAGATGAAAGAAATTTTTGCTGAGGCTGGAAGAAAACCAGTATCTTCCGAAGAAACTATACAGTCTTCCCCACTTCACACCAATAGATACGTTCAATTGAGTGAAGCTGATCCAGAAGAAGAGACAGATCCAGAAGAAGACGATCCAGATGAATTCAGTCAACGACCGTGAATAGGAAAAAGTCTCTACCGACATCACCACCAACAGCAATACCAATAATCCAAAAAGGAACAGTCTCCACCGACAAAGCTCCATAAGAGACAAAACTCCGCCAACAGAAAACGATAAAAAGATTGTTTCAATATTCGAAGCACTGTACCCACTATCATATACGACAAGAATACGACAAGAAGACACTATTCCATATGGCCACGTCCCCGACAATAAATACTGTACCAAGATGCGCTTACTGTAGCCACTTGGGAAACAAACAAATAGAGCACTGTACATAATGCTTTTATGTTTTGTCTTTTCTCGTTTCTTTTGTCTCTTCCCTTTCACTTTTTACTTCACGACAAAGGAATCTCTTCTTTTCCTTTTGACGTGTCACTTTACTTCGTCTCGAAGCAACCTCCCTCGCTTATAAAAAGGAAGGACCTCTCCTCATTTCAGCAAGGTCGAACTCAACCTCAACCATCCTCTTTCTCTGCTGCCTTCTCTCTCTGAGTTCTCTGGGCTCTCTGAGATCTCTCTCGGAGTTATATCTCTCTCCTATTTCTCTCTGAAGTCTCTCTGAGTTTATTTCTACTCTCTCTCAGTTCATTACCACTCTTCTGAGTTCGGAATATTGCATCAAACATCAGAGCTATCCTGACCTATGCTTTTTTCTTTCCCAAAAAGCATTAGGATGTTCACTACATATAGTAGTTTCTATTTGTTTTTGTATTGATTGAATCTTTTGTTGAATTGAAGGAGTAATTATTTGTTCTTCAATAGATTTATATTTGATTTCTAGTTTTAAGGTACAAAGAAATCTTTCTTTGTTTTGTAACTGACTTTTAACACTATTTAATCGCCCAGGATCTACAGTCCTATTGTTTGATTCTTAATTTAACCAACATATGCTATTATAAGAATTATATAACCTGTGTTTGTAGTCAAACTGATCTAGGCTAGAGTTAATATGTAAATAAGAGGCTATTATATTTAACAAGTTCTTGTAAGATTTTGTAATAATTAAGGATAAAAAGGAGTACGCAAAGTAAAGTAATAATAGATATATCAATCACGAACCATTGAGCATAAGATAACTCGCCAATCTTTATACTGAATAAAATTTTAAACTGCATCAGATATAACGACTTTTTTATAACAACTGTATAATGTTTACAAGAACAGAGCAAACAACAACAGAGCAACTATATTAATGTTTACAAGAACAGAGCAACTGAAATAATACAACTATTACAAACTCTTGAAAAAGAAAGAAGAAAACAAGATGGAAATCTGAAACTTACTGTGTACAAATACAATAACTGGAAAATAGTTTCCAGTGTTGTGGACAGTATGAAGGGAGAGATTTTAGATTGCAGTCACACATAATGGATATAGAAAGAAAGGTGAAGGATAAAACCTGATCATATACTTAGAATATGATGAGCTAGGAAGATCAGGATAGCTCTGATGTTTGATGCAATATTCCGAACTCAGAAGAGTGGTAATGAACTGAGAGAGTAGAAATATACTCAGAGAGACTTCAGAGAGAAATAGGAGAGAGATATAACTCCGAGAGAGATCTCAGAGAGAGGACTCAGAGAGCCCAGAGAACTCAGAGAGAGAAGGCAGCAGAGAAAGAGGATGGTTGAGGCTGAGTTCGACCTTGCTGAAATGAGGAGAGGTCCTTCCTTTTTATAAGCGAGGGAGGTTGCTTCGAGACGAAATAAAGTGACACGTCAAAAGGAAAAGAAGAGATTCCTTTGTCGTGAAGAAAAAAGTGAAAGGGAAAAGACAAAAGAAACGAGAAAAGACAAAACATAAAAGTATTATGTACAGTGCTCTATTTGTTTGTTTCCCAAGTGGCTACAGTAAGCGCATCTTGGTACAGTATTTCTTGTCAGGATGTGGCCATATGGAATAGTCTCTTCTTGTCGTATTCTTGTCGTATATGATAGTGGGTACAGTGCTTCGAATCTTGAAACAGTCTTTTTGTCGTTTTCTGTCGGCGGAGTTTTGTCTCTTATGGAGCTTTGTCGGTGGAGACTGTTCCTTTTTGGATTATTGGTATTGCTGTTGGTGGTGATGTCGGTAGAGACTTTTTCTTATTCACGGTTGTTGACTGAATTTGTCTGGATCGTCTTCTTCTGGATCTGTCTCTTCTTCTGGATCAGCTTCACTCAATTGAACGTATCTATTGGTGTGAAGTGGGGAAGACTGTACAGTTTCTTCGGAAGATACTGGTTTTCTTCCAGCCTTAGCAAAAATTTCTTTCATTTGTTTTTCTAGTTCTTCCTTGGATGCATTGGGATTGGTTTGCAACATATTTCGTAAGTAGGTTGGAAAGTCAAAAGAGGTATTGGCTGTAGTTGGGCTTGGCTGGTATTTAGGTGTCTGTTGGGGTATTCTTTTTGGTGTGGTGGTGGTGAGATCCATTTTGAAAATGTCTCACCATTTAACAGAGATGGTTTTCCCCAATCGAGGAATATAAGTGTAATTGGCTGTATTATTGACAGAGATAGTATATTCCCATTTCATGATCCATGGGATCTGGTATAATGCCATGAAGTATAGGTGAGTATCAATTGTATTGTCACTATTATAATATTCCACAAATTGATCCTGCATGTTTTTGAAAGCAGGAGGTAGAACCAAAGATGTTGAACCCCACACCAAGAACCAGTTTTGAAACCATGTGGGGAATCTTTCGATTCGAAAACAGGTAGCCGAAACTGAAGGTACCAGCTGTGTGTGTTATTTGGATTTTGATAATAAAAGAATTTATGCCAGGCTTCTATGTATTCGGCATATTTATAATATTTATACGAGAAATCTGGGTTGTGCAATT